ATGAAGTAAATATATTTGTTCTTTCTGAATGACGTGGATAGCTACAAGGACAAGGAGCCATTTTAAAATGCATTAGATATTGAATGTCCTTCTTGCTTGGGGTATTTATGATATTCTGCATATGAAACATATTTAGCTTTTTTTAAAAAAAAAGAGCTACATTTTAGCTAGTCCTGTGCAAGTCAGCAGTGGAAGCTCTGGGAGCCTCCTCAGCACTCTGTGGCCCCATGCTGGATCCAGGACAATACTGCCACAAATGATCCCCATATGTTAGAAGAAAAGTAATGACTAGCCTTACTAGCAGCACTCCCGAACCCTGAGGGATAGGAAATTTGGCACGTTAAACATAGAACAAAAGGATTTTTCATTCCCCTACTGAATTTAGACAGCAGCTACTGGAGAGTTCACACTGCTAATTTCTAAAGCAGTAATAAGGGCATCTCAGGACTGCCTCCTCCTGCTACCAAGATGATGAGTATGTCTACCTCTGAGACCAAGAACCTGTCACCTCCGGAGTAGAATCAAGAGCCCTTATTTCCCCACCTCCCAAAGCAAAAGCACTGTCCAAACAGATAGTGGAATGGCCTGTATATCTGAAAATCCAGGGTGAAAGTTAAAAGTCTAAAAGAGCTACACAGATCTACAGTCAAGTGTTGTGATAACAGATGGCTAAAGGTACCAGAGATCAATATTTACTTGAGAATACTAGATTTTTATTTATGTATTTATTTATTCTTTTTTACAGGAGAGATGTGCAAACTCAGTTCCTTTAAGGAACAGAAGAAGGAACAGAAGAATCAGTCCTAGCCTTAGCTTAGCAGCACTAAGGTTTCTGCCTACCTACCGGGACCTGTTTATACAGTGTAATCAGGAAGAAGTGGATTTTGTCAGTGATAACATCCTGAAAAACCCACCTACATCTGGGAAAACGGTAAATGATTAGAAACTGAAATGTAAACCCTTTGCTCACACTGCTCTAAGGTTATAGGCAATCAGTTGAACTGTTTGCAGGAGAAACTGCTGACTGGTGTGAAAAAGGAATTGGCCATCTCACCCTCAGTGATTATGAAAAGTATTTCAAAATGTTCTGACAGGTTATGTTATTTCAAAGCAAAAAAAGTTATCCCAAAGTTAGATGGTGTCACAGAGAATAAAGTACTTAAAAAGAGGGAGAGGCTATAAGTATAGGTATCAATATATCAAGGTATCAAGTAATAGAATGAATAGGAGAGGATGCAATGGTAACATGAGACTGACTGTGCCCTTTTGATTTTGAGGGATACTTATACTAATAATAACAACAGTACCTAGTTCTTCTGTAGCTCTTTCCAACAGCAACTCTAAAGCACCTCAGCCAAAGCAATGCCATTACCCCCATTGACAAATAGGGAAATGGAAGCAGGAAGAAGTGAAATGACTTTAGACTTCAGGAAGGCCTTCGATACGGTATCCCACCCCATACTGGTGAACAAGTTAAGAGGTTGTGACTTGGATGGCTACACAGTCCGGTGGGTGGCGAATTGGCTAGAGGGTCGCACCCAGAGAGTCATGGTGGATGGGTCGGTTTCGACCTGGAAGGCTTGGTCCTTGGACCGATACTCTTCAATGTCTTCATCAGCGACTTGGACGAGGGAGTGAAATGTACTCTGTCCAAGTCTGCGGATGACACAAAGCTATGGGGAGAAGTGGACACACCGGAGGGCAGGGAACAGCTGCAAGCAGACCTGGACAGGTTGGACAAGTGGGCAGAAAACAACAGAATGCAATTCAACAAGGAGAAATGCAAAGTGCTGCACCTAGGGAGGAAAATGTTCAGCACACCTGCTGCCTAGGAAATGACCTGCTGGGTGACACGGAAGTGGAAAGGGATCTTGGAGTCCTAGTGGACTCCAAGATGAACATGAGTCGGCAGTGTGATGAAAGCCATCAGAAAAGTCAATGGAATTTATCATGCATCAGCAGATGCATGACAAATAGATCCAAAGAGGTGATACTTCCCCTCTATCGGGCACTGGTCAGACCGCAGTTGGAGTACTGCGTGCAATTCTGGGCGCTGCAATTCAAGAGGGATGCGGATAACCTGGAGAGGGTCCAGAGAAGGGCCACTCGTATGGTTAAGGGCTTGCAGGCCAA